GAGTGAGGAGAATAGAGATTAAAACCCAAGTCTCTTCGCTTACACTTGGATTAGACACAAGCTTAAAGGACAGAGGAACTAGGCCAGGAAGGAAGAAGCCCAAGTGCTTGTCTTTATCCTTGTCCTTTGAATATGTAGCAAACCTTTTACAGGCCTCAGGTTCCTTAAATGTACAACACAGGGCTGGGGCAAGAGGATAGCTGAGGTTTCCTCCAGCTTTAAATTTGTTTACAAGCTAAGGGAATGAGAAGGAAATTTTCAGCCCCTTGGTTATCCCCCATAATGTCTGGAATGGAATGTAGATACCCACCTACCAGAAAGAAATCTTACTCTTAGATGGATTATGAATGCATGTGATAGCCAGAAAATGTTGCAAATCATTTTTTACATTTCCACTTGATTCTTATCCTTAAAAGAACCTCCTCCCATGGCTGCCTTGCAGACCTTTCTAAGTTCTCCCTCCCTCTTTCCCTCTTCACAGCACCCTTTGCCTTGTGTATCTCTCTGTCCCCACCCCATAATTCTGGCAGTATTTTAAAGGGGCAGCATCAGGTTCCTGATAGCCTATTGGTTAGTGAAGGAAGTCTTACATTCCTCAGATCCTTCAGAACAAAATATTTCTGAGACGTAAATAGACTTTTTTTTCCTTTTTGGTGTTGGGGAGGACCTAAGGAGGAGGTGTTAATACGCAGGCCAAGTCTCCATGTCTTTACTAAAGTCACATCTCCCAGTGTGGAAAGTATATGTGGTATGAGAAGGTGAGTAGCGGAATGGCAGCAGTGGTGGTGAAGGAAGGTGATGCATAAAATTATATCCTACTGTAGGTATAGTAACTAGGGGAAGGGGCAGGTGGTGAGAAAAAGCAAATCCCCTACCATGTAATTGTGAGGCCAGTAGAGAAGAGCAGTGCATACCCAGGTGCTTAGAGCAGAAATTGGTGTTCCTATGGCCATGGGTTGGACTCATTCCTACTCGATATTCCCTTACCATGAGCACCACATGGGGCTGATGGAAACATAAAAGTCAGCCCTTGTTTGATGTCTTCTCTGCGGATGGAGGACCCTGTCTCTTCTCTTTGTTCTCTTTAGTGACATTCTTCTCCCATAATTCAGTTACTGGAGAAAAATATGAATATTATGAAAATATTTTTTAATGCAAAAGCAAAGGATTATTTAAGTTTTCAGTTGCTGTTTTTTTAATTTAAAAATAATCCTTTCCCTGTGCAAGGAAAGATCGCAATCCTGGTAACCAAATGCAGCACCCCTGTGCCAGCTAATTTGAGTCAGCAGCCACTTCTGAGCTATGGCTGCCACACTCTCTCTTTTACTTTTGTGGAGCTTAGGTGGTTAGCTCTTTCACTAAGGTGCTGGGTCTTGGGGTCTTTCTCCCACTTTCATTTGGAGCCTTTCTGGACTGACTCAGCTCACTGCCAGTGCATTGGGACTGACAAATAAATTAACTTGAAGTAGGTTGGAGAGTTTCTTATGTGTCTCAGGCTCCTGCTGGAGATGCCATTATACTTTTTGTTCGGTCTTTAAAGAAGATCTTTGCATGGTAAGTTGCAAATACAGGATGGTGCTTTTACTTTTTGTAAAGACAGTACTGTGAGATATTGTGTCATGTCATATCAACTGAGTGGATTTCTTTTGTACTTGATTTGGTGGGGGAGGACATCAATTCCATTATATCCATTGGTACCTTATTGGATCTAAGTGAATCAGTCCTTCCCAGAGTTCCATGCTTTGAGGAAAAGCTCAGTCTTGCCCAACACATTTGGATCATTGTTGTTGAATCTGATCTCTTCATCCCCCTATTATCATACAAATTGCTTGATGCTTTATGCTTTATCATGTCACCTGTTGTTCATTTGTGTCCATAAATTGCTCCATTTAAAACTAGAGCCTTCTTAAACTTTTGATTCTGGACAAGGTGAGGTAGACTCATTTCTCTGTATTCCTCCTGCTAAGAACAACTAAAAGCCCTGGACATAATACTAAAAGCAATATAAGAAGACTTTAAAGGTGGGAAGAAGAAGGTAGATTGGCTAGGGACTCTGGAATTTGAGGGATGACATGCTAGTGAGTCCTGGCTTTCTTTTTTCCCTCTGTGTATCCCAGAGTAGGCACTGGAGAAGCCCATATCATGGAAATGCCAACAGGTGCAGATAGAAAAAAGGCCCTAAGAAAAGTCTGCTCTTTCAGGAAAAGGGCAGCCTAATAGAGCAAAAAACTTTTTGACAATATCTATTCTGCTTTAGCCAAAGACCATGGAAATCTCCCCACCTCCCTGAGTGCCAGTGGAAGTTGAATGGGGAAGTTGGATTTCCACCTTCCACCTTGTATAGTATAGCAAAGCTGTACTCTGATTCCTCCACCAGAGTGGTGTCAGCAGAAGCTGAGTGGGGAGCCTGAAATTGCACCCCCTCTGGTGGCAGTAGATGATGTCAGGCAGTGCTTTGCTACCTCAACCAAGGAAGTGTTGGCGGGAATTGAGCTGAATTTCTACCCTCTGCTCAGTAGTATAGTGCTATTCTCTGCTTCTCCCACTTGTGTGGTACCAACAAAGACAAGTGTGGAGCCTAGCTTTGTACCTTCCACATGGGTGTAGCAAGCTGCTTGTCCTGTTAGGATGGTGTCAACAGAGGCCAAGAAGGGAACCTGAATGTCCGTCCTCTGTCTGGCAGCAACAAGGTAGTTTTTCACTTCTCTTAGCTGCGCTGATGCCAGTGGGGGTTGAATAGAGAGTCTGTACTTCTACCCTCCAGCTGGTGGGAACAAGGCAGCATGAGGCAGCATTCTGCTCCCCACATGGGGCAATGTCAGTGGGGTGAGTGAGGAACCTGAACTTCTATCCCCAGATCAGCAGCAATGAGGCAGTGTTTCAGTTCCCCCACCAGGGTGTTGTTAGGAGAGGCCAAGGAAGGACTTCCATTCCCAATGTTGAATGTCCGGTGGTGGCAGGTGATGCTTTTCCTTCTCCTAACTGGAGATTGATGGCAGAATTTGGGAGAGAAGGGAGCTGGAGAAAGATATTTTGTAAATGAAGTCCTGGGCATACTTGCTGGTGACCCACAAGAGAAACTGACTAGAATTAATACAGCAGAAGATTTGAGAACTGACCCACAGTGTTGAATACTGCCCAGATTTTTAGATTAGCTTTCGGTAACACACAAAGGAAGCAGACCAAAATAACCCTGCAAAGGCTCTGAAAACTAAATTGTCTTGGGGTCACAACCATACAAGAAGGCTAGAACTAAGATATTAAACCTAAACAGTGTGACTGCCTACTGAAAAGAAACATTCGGTAGAATTCAGAGTACATAAGACTCAAAATGTCCAGGATACCGAAAATCACTCATCATACCAAGAACCAGAAAAATCAGAACTCGAATTAGAAAAGACAATTAACTGATGCAAACAGTGAGATGACTCAGAAGTTGGTGTTATCTAACAAGGATTTTAAAATAGCTGTCATAAAAATGCTTCAAGCAATTATAAATACTCTTGAAACAAATGATAACCTCAGCAAAGAAATAAAAGATATAGAAAGAATGGAATTTTAGAATTGAAAAATACAACTAAAAATTAGGGAAAAAATCACAGCATAGTCTTAATTGTAGAATAGAGAGGAGACTTAGAAAAGAATTAGTGAACCTGATGACAGATAAAAAATATTCTAAATAATAGAAAATAGGTTGGAAAAAAATGAACAGAGACTTAAGGACTTGTAGGAAAACAGAAAATCTAACGTTTGTGTCTCAGAGTTTCAGAAGGAGAGGAGAAAGAATATGGGGCTGAAAAATTAATCAAAGAAAAAAGATGGAAAACTCCCCACATTGGTGAAAGATATAAACCCACAGATTTATGAAGCTGAATGAATTCTATAACAGATAAATTCAAAGAAGTAAACACCATGACACATCACAGTCAACCTTCTGAAAACTAAAGACAGAAAAAAAAACTTTGTGAAAAAAAAAGTGACAATGAATACATGTATGTTCATGTATAATTGAAAAATTGTGCTCTACACTGGAATTTGTCACAACATTGTAAAATGACTATAACTCAATAAAAAATGTTAAAAAAAAAACAACAACTTTGAAATCAGCTGGATAGAAACAACACCTTATCTACAGGGAGCAATGATTGAATGACAACATAGTTTTCATCTGATCCCACAGACACCAAAAGTATGTGGCACATTTTTCAAGTGCAGAAAAAAACTCTCCACTCAGAATTCTATAGCCAGTGAAAATATCCTTCAGGAGTGGAAGGAAGGAAATCAGGATGTTCTCATACAAAAGAAAATTATAAGTATTTATTACCTGTCAACCTACCTAAAAGAATGACTAAAGAATATTCTTTAAATAGAAGGGAAATAATAATAGAAGGAAACACAGACTATCAGGAATAAACGTGAACCATCAGGAAAAAGCAAAGAACAATCAAATGAATAACAATAAGGGAAAATATAATAGAATGTCCTTCTCTGGAGTTCTTTAAATTATGTTTGATTATTGAAGCAAAAATTACGTCATCTGTAGTCCCATATATGTTCAATATGAATTTCACTGCCAGAGTTACCACTTTTTGTTTCTGTGCTGCACTGTCAGCTTTGTTGATTAGTTCTCTCTTTTTAAATTATCCATTTTTATGAAATATTAATATGGGTTTATCCTTGGGGGATGAGGAGGCCATACAACCACACATTGACATCTGTGTATGACTTGAATAATGAATGCACAGTAAGTGACCAGTCCCTGACAGACTTTGAAAGAAGTGATGTGATCAGCCACTGATCATGGTTGGCATTTATGTTATTTACATAGTGACTTATGGACTGAAGAGCTATCAGCAATGTTGGTACTTAATACAATTAAAGTAAATATGACAACTGAAGTGACAACTGAAATACAAGTCATGTTGGGAGACTAGTGTTATTTAAGCTGTGGTATTTGAAATTGATGCATATAAGATCTGTGCAAAGCAAGGACTGTCTGTCTGATAAGACTTGTATCTATCTGGAACATAAAAAGAACTCTTAAAACTCGATAGTAACAACCAATAACCAGTTTGAAAACGGGCAGAGGATATGAACAAACATTTCACTGAAGAGGATATGTGGATGGCAAATAATTACCTGAAAAAAATTTTAATGTCATTAGCTGTTAGAGATTTGCAAATTAAATCCAGCACCAATCCACAGACATCTATTAGAATACCTATAATAAAAATAATACTAAATTCTAGTGAGGATGTCAAGAATCTGGGTCTTTTATACATTATTGGTGGGAGTAGGAAGTGGTACAGACACTCTGGAAGATAGTTTGGCTATTTCTTATGAAACCAATCATACGACCCAGCAGTTGCACTCTTGGGCATTTATCCCAGATAAATAAGAATTTAAGTTTATTTTAAAAACCCCTATACAAATGTTCATTCAGTTTTATTCATAATATCCCAAACCTGGAAACAACTCAAACATTCTCGGACAGGTGAATGGTTTAACATCTGTACATCTTTTACAATGGAATACTGTTCAGCATTAAAAAGAAATAAACCATTAATATGTGCAGTAACTTGGATAGATCTGAAATGCATTATGTTCAGTGAAAAAGGCCAATCTCAAAAAACTTATAGACTGTATGATTCTATCTATATAACATTCTCCAAATGCCAGAATTATGGAGATGGAGAACAAGTTAGTGGTTGCCAGGTATAGAGACGGGAGGGAGAGGGTGAGAGCATGAGGTGCAGCTGTAAAGGAGCACAGTGAAGTTGTTTCATGGTGATGGAACAGTTCTATAGCTTCATTGTTCTGGTGGTTACATGAATCTGTATATTACATAAAATTGTATAGAATGATAAACACACATCCATGGAAATGTGTACATATAAAAGCTGGTGAAATCTGAATAAGGTATGTAGTCTAGTTAATAGTACCTGAATAAGGTATGTGGTCTAGTACCTATGTCATTTTCTTGGTTTTGACATTGTACTGTTGTTACATAAGATATTATCATCGGGGGAAGCTGAATGAAGGGTACATAGTACTCTCTGTACTATTTTTATAACTTCCTGTGAGTTTATAATTATTGCAAAATAAAAAAATAGTTTTGTTAAAGGCCTTCCTGAGGGCCAGGCATACATCATTTTTGAGGCAAAGGTGACTAGTTTCTTATCCTGCTCACTTGTCTGTCATCCCACAGCTCTAGGCAGTGACTCAGCTTTCCCAGACCCCTTAGCCTGGCCTTTGGCAGCCACCCAGACTCCTCTAGCTGGAGATAGGGAGAGCATTTCACTGTTGTTTTAGCCTAAAAGAGAAAAATATGGCACCGTATAGATGTGATTGCTCTGCTGGGAACTTGCCCTTTTTTAAGAGAGGCTGATTCATTTCTTTGGTTGGTGTTTCTGTGGAGTGCTTATCACTGGGGAGAAAACCTAATGGTAATAGATGAGCAATTTGGAGCTGACAGCTACTCATCATCCTGCTTTTTATAAATATATGTACCTTTTAATTATTCTTGGAAGATAGACCCAAACCCATGTGACCTTTCAGATTTTCTTTATAAGCACTGTCTAAAACTGTTAAGAAAACAGGGAGTGTCACATGTATAAAATAATTAAAGTCTTTTATTCACCTCCAACATAACTTCATTTTTTAAATCTTTATATGTGTGTGGGGTGGGGAGGGAGTGAGCGAAAATTGTTTGAGGCTTCAGTATAGTACATACAGTAATTTAGCCACTTCAAACAGTTGAACAAATTGTACACCTGTAGTTAGATTGACAGTAATGACAGTGATTAATTTTCATCAGCAGATTGCTCCCACTCTGACAGCTCTTTACCCACGGTTTCCTATTCCGGGTTTCCCTAAAATGTTGCTGGATTGGGCAGGGCGCAAAGCAAAGATATTCTATGATTTCTAGAAGAAAGAGGACCAACGTGTGGATTATTCCACTTTAGACCTCAGCCTTCCCATGTGACGTTAGGGGTTGGATGTAAGCTTGCATTGCTTCCCCTGACCTCAGTGATTGTAACAAGAAGACTTTACATTCTTCCTGAGCATTGGAAGTCAGACTGTGGTAAGTGAACCTTCGAAAATCTTGAGTGTGTCCTTAGGGCAGAAGGCTATACAGGTAGACTCCGAGAGCTCTCTCCTCTGGGCATCTTAGAAGGCATTAAGATTCTTGATAGCGCAGATTAAAGAAAGTTGTGTCCTGGAGCAGCAGTTGAGGATGGGCATCCATGGTAGACCACAGGAGTCTTGGGGAGATGTTCCCAATTGATTTAATAAATCATCCCTTTGCTCTTCTCCTTAGGCAAGGCAGGCCAAGGTTAAACGGCTCTTCCGCCCCATTGAGGAGCTGAAGAAGGACTTTGAGGAGCTGAATGTTGTCATTGAGACTGACATGCAGATCATGGTTCGGCTGATCAACAAGTTCAATAGTTCCAGCTCCAGCCTGGAAGAAAAGATTGCTGCACTCTTTGATCTTGAATATTATGTCCATCAGGTATTGTATTTCATTGTCTGTAAGTCTGACTTTTAACTAACAACTCCAAAAATAACTCCTCTATCCTAGGCTCTAAGAAAATATTGTTGGCATCTTTACTTCTCTCCCAAGGTGTGCAGCATTTTTAATCTAAGCCAATATATATTGTAGTAAGACAGATTCTTAGAGACCAGGGCCAGCTTCTTTTTCATTTGGAGTGTTACTTTGTTTAATTTTTCAACACTGAGGATACAGCAGAGGTAAAATAGATGTGATCCTTATTCCATGTAGCTTCTAATCTGAAGAGAGCAATTAAATAATGAACAATTGAACAATGAACAAATGAACAGTTTAATGAGATAGTTTAACATTGTGATAAGGGCTCCAGAGGGTCATGTCGGAGTATATAACAGGGGACCTAGGCCTAGTCAGGGATATTGGGGAAGGCATCTCTGAAGATGTGACATTTAGGATGAGCATTAAAGGGTGATTAGGGGTTGGCTAGGCAAAGAGAGGAGATTAGAGTAGGGGGTGGCAAGCTATGACCTGCTTTTGTAAACAAGGTTTTATTGGAACACAGTCACACCTATTTGTTTATGTATTTTTTTAAAATTGTTTTTGACTGTTTTTATGCCACAATAGCAGAGTTGAGTAGTTGTGACAGAAACCATATGGCTCACAAAACCAAAAATATGTACTATCAGGCCCTTTAGGAAAAGTTTGCCACCCATTGGATTAGAGCATTCCAGGCAGAGGAAATAGCATGTGCAAAAATTCTGAGTCAGAGAAAAGCTTGATGAGCTTGAGGACCTGGAAAATACTATGGTGACTGGAGCACAGAGACCAGAGGGTGGGGTGTCATCGATAAAGTGGAAAAGTCAGGGAGTCACAGAGGTGGGGATGGGAAAATCATGCTCTTCATGATTTTATCCATGATCCTAATAACCATAGGAGAATTTGAAGCAGGGAAATGACTGGTCAGACTTGTGCCACAATTATAATATTTATTGATTATTATTGTATACAAGGCACATATTCAAATGCCTTGTACAAATTAATTCACTGGCTTCCACACCTGCCTTTGAGTGGGCACTACTATTAATCCCATCTTGTAACTGAGGTAAATAAATTACAGGTCACACCTGTGATTGCCCAAGGTCACCCAGTTAGTGAGTGGTAGAGCTGGAATTTGCAACAAGGTCTGTCTGACCTTTTGGCCCTTCTGCCTCACACAGGATACTGGTACCATCTGAATGAAGCTCAGAAGAGTATAGGTGAATCTAAGTTGAAGGAGCCGAGAGAAGCCATTTATTTATTCAGTAAATTGATTTATTGCATGCCTGTTAAATTCCAGGCACTTAAGATACATTTGTGAACAAAATTGAAGCTTACCTTCTAGCAGATGCAGATAGACAATATACATAACTAATAAGTAAATTACAAATAATATGTTTGAAGGTGATAAATACTATGGAAAAATAAAAAGTAGAGCAGGGGATAGATTGGCAGTGTTGAGAAGGAGGATCTCAGGAGAAGCAGCAAGTACCAAAGCCCTAAGGTGGGAGCATATCTAGTGTGTTTGAGGAACAGCAGTGTGGCTGGAGCAGAGAGAAGGGGAAGAGAAGTAGATGAAGTTCAGAGATAATGGGGGGAAGATCATGGAGCACCTTGTAGGCCATCGAAAAGACTGATACTGGGCACTATTGGGAGAATGTTGAACAGAAGAAAGACTTGATCTGACTTTTAAAGGATTCGCCTAGCTTCTGTGTTGAGAAATTGGACTGTAGGCCAAGGGCATGGGTAGAAGCAAGGAAACTAGATAGGAGGCTATTGCTCTAATCCAGACTAGGGGCGATGGTGGCCCAGGAAGGCTGTGTAATCATAATCAAAGGCTTGTTTTGAGATCCTCATCAAGACATAGATGTTCAACATCCTCCCACGCCTGACAGCATCCTTGTTCTCTATAAACTAGGCTAAAAGATGTTCTTTCTTTCTTTAGGATTTTGCCAGCCTTTGTGGTGAGAGGATGAGTGTGTACTGTATCTGCAGGAATTATGGGGTGGCCTCTTCATCTCTCTCTGCTCATAACTCTTTCTCAGGACTCAAATAGCAGACCTGTGATCCTTTTAGAGGAAAAAAAATAGACCTGGGTTCTTGTTCCTCTTTCCATTCTTACTCTCCAGGTTAGAAAACAAAAATTCTAACAGCTTTTCCGTTATAGATATTTAAAGGATTAAGGATCCTAGGGGTTATTGGCCAACTCAGTCCTGCTCTGATGTTGACAGCTTTTATTTTTTTCTCATCTTAACATATTTGGATGGACCTTTAGGTATCAGGTTTCTGTAGCCTCTTCCTTTAGTTGCAGCATAAAAGGCCACCTTTTATGAGAGCTTATCTTACCTAGAGGGGAGTGAGTACACAGGTGGCTAGCAGGGCCCTAATAAATATTATTTCCCCTGCAAGTTGTTTGGTTGCCTGGAAGTGTCATCTCTAGGGTGACATCCCCTTCTGCTTTCATGGTTTACTGGGTGGGGTTAACAGATTTTTTGACTTCACCAAATTTAACCTGTTGTCAGCCCAGGAATCAGTCCCCTGGTGGAGGCCAAACTTGATCTGTTGGCAGAAGTGTCACAAGTGTTCTAGGTCATTGGCCTTTTGGTTGGAAATATGGATGAGATCTTTGGTTTGGGCTGGTGTGTCAGGTTTCTGTGCAACAGTGTTAAGTTGTGATTTCACAGAGGGATTAAAGAAGACACAGCTCTGCCTCAAGTTCCAGTTGCAATGGGGAGTTGGGGTGATGTAGTGCTAGCTTTGAGGAAGATAGGACTTTTCTTGCCAGGAACTTCCTTAGTCCACTCCTATTCTAGACTCACTGATTAGATGTTTTGAGGAGCCATGGGCCCAAACTGGATCCAGACTGGATCTGCCCAAGGAGATTCCTCACAGCCATGTTTGAATTATTAACCAGGATTTGTGAAAAGCAAAACGATGTGTGTAGAAACCGTTTGTGAGTTACTTATGAGGAATGGTCACTGTGGGCCCCATCCACCCTGGGGCAATGTGTTTGCCTTCTCTTACGTGACTCTAATTATTTGCCCTCATCTCTGCCTTTCTCTCTTCTCCTTGTTCTCTCACTATCTTGTTAGTGCTCTGCCTTTCTTTTTCCCTCCTGAGTGTTGGCACGGTTCCCTACTGCCTCCTTCTTTATGTTTTCCCTCCCTCTACCTTGAACTCCTTTCTGCCTGTCCCACCTCCATCCTGAAAGCAGCCTGGGAAAAGTTCTGGCCCCAGACCCAGCTGGGGAGCTGCATACCCAGGTCCTGGCCATGCCTTCTCCTGTGTGATACTGGGAAGGGCCCAGATTTTGGAGCTTGGGTGTACAGTGGGCAGAACGACTCTTCCTCCTCATCTCCAGTGAAATAACAAATAAGAAAACATCTTGG